CGAGGTTTTAGAGAGAGAGAGAGAGAGAGAGAGAGAGAGAGAGGGACTGGAATTTGGTGATAACCAGAGGAAGAAGAAGAGCATCGAATCTTGGCCTCTTATATTGCAGCGGAGAGAGTTGTTGCCGTCTGATTCAATTCAATACAGAGTATATTTGCTCTATTATCGGATGTATATATTCTTCTATAATTGACGCGATTTCCTTGGCATGTTAAGGATAATCCTCATTTGAACTAAAACGAACAAATGATTTTATATTATTTAATATTAATTTATTCATTTTTTTTTAATTTATCAACCAATAATAAATATTTATTGGTTTGGTATTCTATTAACAATCTAAAAGATCTACAATTATTAATTAAAATTTAAATTATATTAGTTTGATATGCGAAAAATGGGTCAATTATTATTTCGGAACTTGAAAGTCAAAATCTATCAATTTATGAGTCGATTTAAATTTGTCAGTTGAAATCTTTAAAAGGTCAAATATGTATCATAGATTTTTTTTATGAGTTTCATATTTTTTTTTTTGTGTAACTGATATGGCAGACACATATTTGCTCGTACTTTTCATATTGTTTTAAGTTTTTATTTATGGTTTATTTTTTTATTTACATTTTTACAGTTATACTGAAAATTTTAAATTGATAGTTAAGATATTTCGAACATTGAATAGATGTTTAATCTTTAACACATAAATTGATAATTCCTTATCTGTCAAATCTCAACTGGATATAAATTATCTTTTAGGCTTGAATTGATAATTGACTTATTTTTCAAGACTCTAACTAGGGGGCAATTGACAAAAATTCAAGGCGCAATTGGCAAAAACTATGGGGCGGTTTTTCAGGGGACTTGAAAGACAGGGGGCTCAAAACTCACGGGACTTATTTTTCAAGACTCTAACTAGGGGGTGATTATTCAAGACTTATTTTTGAACAATGGATATAAATTATCTTTTAGGCCTAGAGACATTTGAGAGTCTTTTGTTTTTTAAGCATTGAGGAAGGGATCTTGGTTTGAGTGGACGCCTCAAGTCCATGAGGCTTTTGATTGACTTAAGGAGTTTCTGGCTAAGTTGCTTTTACTCACGAAGCCAGATCCCATTGATGACCTTGTCCTATATCTATCGATAAACAAGGTGGCGATTAGCTCGGTGTTGCTTAATGAGAAAGAAAAGCAGCAGAGGCCCATTTACTACACTAGTAGGGTGCTGCTATGTGCAAAGTTAATGTATTATGAGTTAGAAAATGGGCGCTTATTTCGATAGCCCAATAGTTGTGACCTTATTTCTTGGCACATATGGTCGTGGTCCCTACAAATTATGCCTTGAATTATACCCTAGGTCGTCTTTCAGTCTCGGGAAGGATGGCCAAGTGAAAAATTGAGCTCGGAGAGTACAATGTGGAGTTCAATATCAAAAGAGCTATGAAGGCTCAATTGGTGAACTTCATACATGAGTGCTCAATAGAAAAGAAGGTTGGACAGTGGATGGTGTACATGGACGACTCCTCAGCTGTTGGAGATGCAGGCCTCGACATACTAATTAATACACCTAACCAGGACCACCTAGAGTTCGCCGTGAAGTTATCTTCTAATGTCTCAAATAATAAAGCAGAGTATGGAGCCCTGATAAAGGGGATACAACTCGTCGCAAAGGAGGGAGGTTGGTGGGTGATTATTCACCCAGACTCCTAGCTCATCGTCGAGTAGGTTAAAGGAGAGTACGAGGTGAAGGAGGATTGTATGTAGAAGTATTTGGCTACGGTACAGTCTTTGCTGAAAGGATTCCCGACCTGAGAGCTGGTGTAGATACCAAGAGAAGAGAATACTAGAGTGCATCTTTTGTCAAAGGTCGCAACATCCTTGGTAGACTACAAGTATAGGTCAGTGACGTAGTTAAAAATGGGCTCCAGCGCACTAAATTAGGTCATGGAGGTTGAGGAACCAGAAGGCTGGAGGCCGCCATGGGTTAAATGGCTACTGAATCTGATCTTCAAAAAGGACATCCGAAGGATCTAGAAACAAAGAGAGCCCTATAGTTTTTTTTATGGGAATTTGGGATTTCATACAAGCAGTCCAATGTAGGGCCACATCTCTGTTGTGTCTACGACCAAGATGGAGAGTACTTACTGAGAGAGGTCCATGAAGGCTGTTGTGGTGATCTTGTCAAAACTCGAGCATTTGTTAAGAAGGTATTATCAACAAAGTACTTTTGGCCCAAGATGCGTGCCATGGCATAGAAGCTCATACATAAATGTCTCAAGTGTTGACAGCATGGGACGTTGATCCATCTACCTACTAAGGAGATGATTTTCACTCGCCATTACCTTTTGACTAGTCGGGGATGGACATGGTAGGTACCTTACCTCCAGGAACCGACCAAAGAAAGTTTTGCTGGCAGCAACAGATTATTTTAGTAAGTGAATCTAGGTCCAGCCTTTGGAAAGAATTATAGAAAAGAAGGTCGTGAAATTTCTTTTTACTAATATTTGTCAAAGGCATGGCATACCGATGATGCTCGTGTTCGACAACGGAGCTCAGTTCAAAGGTCAAAATATAATGTCTCGGTGTGAATCCATGAAGATCAGGCAATAATTTTCGTCGATGGCCTATCCACAGGCTTTTAGACAGGCCGAGGTCGAGAATAGATCGATTCTGAATGGGCTCGAAGGTTCGCTAGAGAAGGCTTTGGGAGCTTGGGTCAACGAGCTTGAATCAGTTATGTGGGCTTACAACACTATGCCCGAACCTCAAGGGAGGAGATATATTCAACATGTTGTATGGTATGGAGGCTATCATCACGATCGATATTAGCCTTAGCCAGGAGAGGATATACATGTATGGAGAACAAGAAAACACCAAGCTACAGAAAGAGACGTTGGATCAGGTGGATGAGCTCGGTGATCAGGCCAGGATCCGGACATAAGTTTATAATCAAATAATAAGGTCATCACATCACAATAGGGTTAGACCGTGCAAGTTCTAGGTGGGCGACTTAGTGTGGCGATAGAAAAATTCACTCAAGCACGTCGGGAAGCTTGAACGTAATTAGAAAACCGTAAGTGGCTGAGCTGGTATTTGTAGGTGGTGCTTATGATCTGAGAGATAATAGAGGAAAGCTCCTACCTAGCTCATGGAGTGTGGCAAATCTAAAGAAGTACTACGCTTAAGTTTTATATCCTAGTTTCTTTTATCTACACAGTTCTATAAGTATGTCCAAATAATTTAACTCGTCTATGAATAAAAAACACAGTTTTTCTTACCATACCTATTATGAGTTAAAGTTTTACGTTTGAGCATACATTTCAAAGGGCAAAACCTTGGGCAGACAAGCTCGGGGACACATGCTTAAGGGTTAGAACCCCGAGCAGATGAGCTTGGAGGCCAAAGGTTAATTGACAGAATCTTGAGTAGTTAGCTCGAGGGCCAAATATTTCTTACATGCAAGAACGTCAAGCAGTTAGCTTTAGGGCTAAGTACTTCTTAAGTTCAATGGGCAGAATCCCGAGCAGATGAGCTCAGAGCCCCAAGGATATATGGCAGAACCCTAAGCAGTTACCTGGGGACCAAGTATTTCTTAAGTTCTAAGTGGCAGAAACTCAATTGCTTGGCTCGAGGGCCACATATTTATTAAGGTTGCAGAACCTCGAGTGGTTAGCTCGAGGGGACAAAAAATTATTAAAAGACAGAACCCCAAGCAGGTAGCTCGTGGTCCATTAGTGTAAAAGGCAAAACCTCGAGCAGATAGCTCTAGGGCCATAAGTTTAAAAAGACATAACCCGAAGCAGGTAGCTTACGGCCCACATATTTACAAAGTGTTTGAGTACAACATATGTTTCAAGTGGCAGAAGCTCGAAGCACGTAACTCGGGTTCTTAAGAAACTCAGAGGTTAAGCCTTTTAATAGTCAAGCAAGCAACTCAGATGCTAAAGCAAATAAAAAAAGAGCATAAGAAATTTAGCTTGAGAAGGCAATTTTTTAACGAATAAAATGCATCACCTTAACAAATATAACCTAGATTAGGATTTTTTAGGAATTACACGCACATGCGTACTTATCAGCTTAACAAATACAACGCAAACCTAAATAGTATATAACACTGTAAAAAT